CAATGTCCCCGGCCAGGGCTCGAACCCGGACCGCTCGATCCAGAGACGAGCGCACTAACCATGAGGTCACTGCGCCTCCCACGATTAGTGTAAAAGTACCCAAAATTGGCCGAATGACAATGGTACCATAGTCATACCAGGTCAAGACAGTAGACTAAATTCTGATTGACTAATTACGAATTTGGGTACGGCAAATTTGTAAAAATAAAATCGTCTGGATACGTATACGAATTTCCCATAGTTTGCACGGCACTATCAGTAACTGCTAAAGTTGTTGCATTGTAGATTTAATCTATTATACCGACACAAATTGATATCCCATTACGGCTTTGAAATCAACTTTCACTGTCTGCTGCCAAGTAAAAACGAAAATTAATATTGTTTACCTGTTGGACTTGCCGTCTTTCACCATTCAGTTGTTCATTTAAATCTTCAATATCAGTCGCTAAGAAAATAAAGAAATGTTCAAAAATACATTACTACGGCAAGAAACTGATTCTATCGTCATGTGAAGATGATAATCAGAAATTAAGGGGTGAGGAGAAAGAATGAAAGAGAGTAGTCTACGACGACGTTGTTTTGAGTAAATGATAGTCCGGGACTATCATTTACTCAGAACTCCCACTTTAATTCAAAGAGCTTGATTACTATTGTCTACGAGGCGAAAAATGTCGTTTTAGTTTGAACAAGAGAAGATCAAGGTAACTATCTTGACCTTCTCTTGATTTAAAACAATGTAAAATCCTACGAATACAGTGGCCTCGGACAATGTAAAGGATGAAAGTTGTGTAAAAATGTTTACATGCCTCGATAAACAAGCAGTATAAAAGTCGCACGCCAGAGTTGTACGGTCTAAATCTGCCCTAAACTGACATCGGCTCTTAAATTTTCATTCGAGGGAGCTCTGCTGCGTAATTACACAAGAAAATACTGTGGAATTGAACTCAGGACTTCCACGGACCTCTAGATCTCGAGCCAGAGCTAAAAGAATGTTACTGAATCTTTTTTCCAATTCTTTATAGAGTCCTCTTCTCCACTATTAACTCACCTAAACGTCTATTCTCATTTTCCCTGTCCTCTAGTTGATTCATCATGTCATCCAGTTTATTCTCCAGTTTCTCCACCTCTTCTCTCAGGTCATATATCTCAGGATCTGTCGCCACACTACTGGCTGACTTTGGTCTGTTTAACGCTTCTTCCAGCTGTTTGTCCGCACGCTCCTGTGCGTCTCGCATCTGCATCTTCATCATCTCTATGATGGAGTCTTGTTGTTGTTGCGCTTTCTTCTTTACTGCATCGTCATCTTGGACTTTCTTGAGCTTTTCGGAAAACATTGCTTTGTCTTGCTTGCTCTTCTTTGCGTAGTATTTCTGTAGAGATGGAAAGAATGTAAAGTCGTAAGAAAATCATCATAGCCATCATGGCGGTTTGGTTGAGACCC